TGCACAGAGACCTGACCAAGGCCTGGTCGTCAGAGCATGACGAACTTTCCTGTGACTTAGGAGCTGGCTGCACCTTAATCACTCGGCGGACAATAGTCCTTTGGATCACTGAGCAGGAGACAAGTTCCTTTATCAGTTCAGGGCAAGACCTGGCTCACGACATATATGCAAGGCACATTGTAGATGAGAGTTCCTCCTCTCTGCAAGGCACTTACTTCATCTATTGCTCCCTTAAAAAAATTATTGTTATTATTATTATTATTATTATTTTGATTTGACCAAAGAGAGACAGAGAGAGAGAAAGGAAGAAAGTAAGCCACCAGGTCTGGGACTTGAACTGCAGTCATCCATGTGGGAATCCAGTGTCCTTAACCACCATGCCACTGACCGGCCCCTGTTTTAAACCTACTTCTATCTCTAATGATGTGTGTGGTTTTAGTAAAGTTATTTAAACTATCCACCCACAGTGGGTGGATGAAATGGTACATGAATACTTACCTTATGGGAGTGCTAAGAATATCAAAGGAGGTCATGAATATTAGAAACCTTTGTGAACTCTAAAGAGCTATGTAAATATTAGAGATCTTTATTTAATGAAATGATGCAAATGTAGCACGTCTTTCCATAATTCTCATCACATCTAAAACTCTCAATGTTAACTATCCCCACCAAATTACACATGTGCATGCATGTGCATACAAGCTCTCATACACTCACATGTGTACACACTTCAGCAGCAACAAAACCGACAGTCCTTGCACTCTTGAAACATATTTTTGAAAGTTAAGCTATGTTCACCACGTACTAACTGTGTGTCCTTGGCTTCATTTTTCCTCCTGTGCACATTCCTCCTCTTTCTTCTCCCAGAAACATTTATATCCATCAATAACATGTCTTATTCTCTTCATTGTTGGGTGCTGCAGGTATCTTTTTCTTCAAATCACCATTAGAGTTGGGTTACAATCAGGGAGTCTAGATGGATATCAGATAAAACTGGTTTTTCTCTAAAGGCCCCACAGAATCAATACTGTAAAAATCGTATTTCAGTAGTTTTAAGATATAGAATAGTCTTTTGATAACTTTTTCTTAAAGGTAAATTTTTAAGTATCTTCACTATTTCATACGACAAGATATCAAGGCATTAATTTCCAAGTGTATCAAACATATTAATCCAGTAATTATCCAGTTTTTTCAAAAGAGAATTTTTCTGGTTCAGTTTTTCTTTTTTTTTTTTTAGAGATAGGTTTCCTAGAGGGCACATGCACTCACCAGAAAGAAAGAAAGAGATATAGACAGAGACAGAGACAGAAAGCAAGAAATCACCCCCCCAAGGGGGATAGCTATGCCACAATTCCTCTCCTCCATTTTCCTCCCAGGCCTTTGGACACACAGCCCAAATACCTGGTGTGAATTTGGAGCCTCCAAGTCCAGGACTTGAACCATGGTTGACCATGTGAGAGTACAACAACATAACCATTATGCCATCTGCTGGTCCCTCTAGGTCAGTTTTAAGTGACTAATGTAAATATATGATAACTAGTCAATTGAATTTTTGGAGCAAGTAAAAACAACTTGTAGGCAATCCTGCAGTGGGGATAAATGATTTCAAGGATTCTTCTAGGAATGTCATCTCTACTTTGTTATTTTCTCTGTTAGCTAACTTCAGATGAGAAAAGTCTATGAAGCAATAGAGGAAAAATAATAGTACATATCTATCAAAACGATGATAAACCTGGAAATCCCTGGACAAGGTCTTATACTTAATAGGTATTCAGACACTCATCTACACAAAGGTATATCATATTTTTGTCATGCTAATATTCAACATGGCAATGGGCATACAGTGATAAATAAAATATCTGCCTAACCCTTCTGGCTCTTTCAGGTTTGTGTGTCTCTGCTCAGGCTCTTTCTTTTCAATCGACCCTCCCTTCCACTCTCCAAGGCATCAATTGACCTAGTGCCACAGAAAGTTAATTAAAAATCATCTCTCTATGAATTCTTTTCTGACCTTCTAAATAGAATTGACCAATTTCTTTTTTGCTGAACAGCAACCCTGACCTCAAACAACATTCCTGTACATGTGCTATAGCAAGTTTTTGTTCTTGTTATTTTGTCTGCCTTTTCCATTGGACTGTCAATAACATGAGCCAGAGTCCTTGCATTACTCATTATTCTAACCTTGGAACAGTTAATTGTTTGACAAATGTGCAGAGACTCAGTAAATAAACAACACTATGAGCATTTTTCTGATGAATGAAAGAGCTGTAAAAAAAAAAAAGTATTGAAAAGAAAGAGACATTTTTAATGTGCAAGAAAAGAAATATAAAGGAAGATGAATAGAGGCCATGGTGGGGGATGATGATGGTGATGATGATGATAAAAACAATGAAGATAGTAAAAATAGCCTCCATATCAGCTGAAACACTAAGTATTAGAGTTTGGAAGACTGTGGAAGGCAGCAACAAAATGACTCACCCACTCTGATTCATCCTTCATGAAGGATCTGCAGCCATTTAGCCTACCCACACTTAACCTGCTGCACTTCTCTTCTTAGAAGCTGCTTTCTCAAGTAAGTCTAACGCTGTGCAAAGCATGTAAAACAACTAACACATTCATTGATAATGTGTGGGGTTGAGGACAGGAAAGGTGTTTAAATACTTGGGAAAGAAAGGGAAGGGGTGGGGGGAGGCAGGAAAACTCTCAATAAAGAAGACCACATTTGTCCTCTGATATCCAGTCACTACCTATTACCTCTCAGCATCACACATCATGTTCTCCAACTTAGTGAAAAACCAGCAATGCCCAGGCAGGCAAAAATGGATATGGGTGCTTCTGTAAGGGAGCCTAAGGAAATAGTCAAAGCAAGTGGCATAGTGGTTGGAGTACTGGACTCCCATATGGCCTACCACAGTTCGAGACCTGGGCCCCGTGGCTTGCAACTCACACTGGATGCATATGTGTGCATGCCCAAAATCCCAACAAGAGAAAGGAAGAGAAGGGACTGCAGCATGGTCATCCCCCTGGGAGTGATTTCTCACTTTCTTTCTCTCTGTCTTTCTCTGTGTCTCCAATGTGTGCACATGCCTGATAGCCAAATTCTCTCTATAAAAAAATAATTTAAAAAAGGAGACTTGGATCTACTTTCATATTCCTGCTTCGATTCGAGAGAAACAATGCATATACTAGAGCAAATTCTTTAAGAATATGATGGAACAGGCGCATTCTTACTTATATTCAAAATCTAGTGCATAGTTTCAAAAAGTTTAAAAACCTTCTGACACCCACTCAGACACCCTTAGGGAACTGTAAAGCTCCGATTGAGACACATTTTCTAGAAAGATATCAGATGCTGGTAATGAGGAAGTGTCGGCTGTTACACTACTCAGACACATGTTGCCCACAATAAGGAGGCAGTGGTTAGAGGACACTCAGCTTCCTGCTTTGGCCCTCCTTCCCTTCTACAGAAGAGAAATCACAGGTCAGCTAGAAGATGTTCAGTGTTCAGCCTTCTTTCTGTGGCTTGGAACAACAACCAAAAAAATGAAAAGTAAGGGATAGGAACTGACTTGGGAGGGACCAGCAGATGGCCTTTCCGTTACATCGCTGGACTCCCATGTAGTCTACCATGGTTCAAGTCCTGGACCTTGTGGCTTAAAACTCCCACTGGGCACACGAGTGTGTGTGCCCAAAGTCACAAAAGGAAAATGAAGGAAAAAGGATTGCTGCATGACCATCTCCCCTGGAGGGTGATTTCTCACTTTCTCTCTCTCTCTCTCTCTCTCTCTCTCTGGCAAGCACTATAGCAAAACTCTCTCTAAAGAAAAAGAAAATGAACTGACTTGGGGATCGAATAATGGTGGAGATCATGAGTGTGAAAAGAGGTATTTCTAGTGCATTTACTAGCTCTTTGTAGAGGGAAACTCTGGGGAGAAGATTTGTTAAATATACGTGTGTGTGTGTGTGTGTGTGCGTGTGTATTCCACAACCTTCTCCCTTGAAGTTATAAAATAGTACAACATGATTATGCTTACTTTTATACAAATAAGTATATGAAGAAGTATGGTTTGCACTGTTCATTGAGAGAACGGAACTGAATGACATTTACCTTGGACTTTGGAATTAGTACAACTAATATCTTAGACAGCTACTTCAATGCCACCACAGCTACTACATGTAAATTTAAAAACTAAAAAGGGTTGAAAAAAAAAGATCCTTTATGCAAAATACATCTGGACAAAAAGGTAGTTACAGAGAAGAGCCACCAATATGCTCCCTGCATAGTCTCTAGGGCACAACAGAGGTTTCGTCTTGATTGAGTGAGAGATAGGAGTACGTGTGGAAATGAACACTATTGAAGGAGCTAATGTGCCTGGATAACGAAAGAAAGAACCCTTTCTTACAAAGCTGTTCATTTTTCAAACTGCACGAACTAAGGAAACCCTTTCTATGGTGACATGGTTTAATTCCTAAGAATGAAAGCCTTCTTTTTTGTACATGCAATGAAACCTGCTGTTTCTGAAGCTTGTTTTCTTAAGACCTCTGCCACCTGTGTTTCAGCTATGTCTTCTCCACATTCCCTTACCAGACTACATCAAGAATTTGACTGAGGGACCAGCAGTTAGCGTAATGGCTATGTCACTGGACTCCCACGTAGTCGACCGCGGTTCGAGTCCCGGATCCGGTGGCTTAAACTCACTCCAGGCATGTGTGCGTGCATGCCCAAGATCCCAAGAGGAGAATGGAGGAGAAGGGATTGTGGCGTGGCCATCCCCTCTGGGGGGTGATTTCCTGCTTTCTGTCTCTCTGTCTCTCTCTGTCTGTCTGGCGAGCGCATGAGCCCTATAGCGAAAACCTCTTTAAAAAAAAAAAAAAAAGAATTTAACTGAGAGTCAAATTCTGGTAAAGCAGGAGCCAGAAGAGGTTTCAAAATCAAAATCCCCAGACACAGAAATAAGCAGATCCAACCTGGAACTATTCTTGTATCTGTTGACAAAATTTATCAAGAGCAGAAATCCTGCCTTCCTAGAACGTGAAAAAGAAAAGCTTTACTACTCTCTGACATTGTTCTCAACATTGTATTTGATAAATTTGAGTATTGTGACTTTGTGAGCAGACACACATGGCACTAGGCTAAATAAAGATCTCCCGACAAAATAATTCAATCTGTTAAGAACCGTTTCTGCCCACAGCTCTGTGCAGGGCATCCTTGACCTCCTTGTTCCTCAGGCTGTAAACAACAGGGTTTAGCAGAGGAGTGATGATGGTGTAGGTCACAGAGAGGAGGAGGTCTTTTTCTATTGAGCTTTCTGACTTGGGCTTGAGGTAGGCAATGGAGGCGCAGCCATAGTGGACGATGACCACTGTGAGGTGGGAGGCGCAGGTGGCAAAGGTCTTCTTTCGGCCCTCAGCTGAAGCAATTTTAAGGATGGAGGAGATAATGAGAACATAGGAGATGGTGATCAGGCCTATGGGCACAAAAATCACAAATGAACTGACACCATAATTGATTATCTCATTGATAGTGGTATCAACACAAGAAAGTTTCATGACGGGGTAAATGTCACAGAAGAAGTGATCCACCACTGTGCCACAGAAGGGTAGCTGGAACATGGCTGTCACATGGAAAACTGCCATAACTACACCTGTGCCAAAGGATCCACACACCAACCCGGCACACATCCCTTTGTTCATGATGACCGTGTACCTCAGGGGCTTGCAGATGGCCACATAGCGGTCATAGCCCATCGCCGTGAGCAGGAAGCAATTGTTAGTGGCCAAGATGACAAAAAGGAACATTTGGGTTGCACAGCCTGACAAGGAGATGGGCTGGTTGTGAAAAATGAGGCTGGACAGCATGCGCGGGACAATGACCAGTGTGTACACGGTCTCTGAGCTAGCCAACATGCTCAGGAAGAAGTACATGGGAGTGTGGAGGTGGCGATCAATGCGGATGATAGTCACGATGATGATGTTACCAGCCAGGGTTAAAATGTAGATGGTTAGGAAAACCACAAAGAGAGTTATCTGATGTTTTCCAAAGCTAGAGAATCCCAAGAAGATGAATTCTGTCACTTCTGTGAAGTTCTTTCTCTGCATTCTCCTGTATTACTGCCTGGAATCAAGAGTCATCAAGGGGAAGATGATCATCAGCAATTGGAATTTGTTTTTTAATTATTTATTTATTTCCTCCATGAGTGAGAGAGACTGGAAGAGAAAGTACTCCCCAACAGGGTCTTGATGCCATGATCCTCCCCCAGCCTCAATCATCCCTGGATCGGCGACACACACATGCCTAGCAAAGCTTAGGAATATCTCCAGACAAAACCTGACCCCTATGTTGGTTATCTTCTCAGAGCATTGTGAGAGCATTGTGCCCCACTGTCTAACTCAAACAATTGGATTTTAAACAAGGAACAATGATAGCTGAACTGAGAGAGTGAACCCAAGCACATACTTAAGGCCCTTCCATATGAAATAAGAAATTTACTGGTGCCTAATTGGGGCTTACACATGTGGACAATATCATTTTAGAATAAACTATTTTGTTTATTCTAAACAAAAAAAGACTTTCTCCTTTTTTTTTTTAAGAGATTTTTGCCAGCAGGTAAATATACTCACTAGAGAGAGAGAAAGACAGAGACAATGAAAGGGAAAATGAGAAATCACCCCACAACGGGGATGGCCACACCGCAATCCCTTCTCCTTCATTCTCCTGGGATCTTGGTCATGCACGCACATGTGCCTGGCATGATTTTTAAGCCACCAGGTCTGGGACTCAAACTGTGATGAGACATGTGGGAGTCCAACAATACAACCACTAGGCAACCTGCTGTCCCTGAAAAGACTTCCGAGAACATGATCAGCTCATAGATAGTGATTTTAAGAAGGGGAAGGGAGAAGCAAGGAGAAAGTCTTGCCCTGTGTTCCAACCTATAATAATATCCACCACGTACAGTGAACCCTTTTGACAAGTAGGAACACCAGTATAGTGCTTGTCAAGAAAACCATAAAGATATGTGTTTTAGGGGAAAAAAAATAATACAGCTGTCCAAAGTATTCAAGGATGACAAATTTTGAGAAGTTGTCATTGGATTTGGTGACAGGGTCACCAAGGGCCTTTTACATAATGTTTTCATTGAGTTCTGAAATTAGAAACTTCATTTCAGAAAAGTCCTCTAAACAGAAGTCAAGCTCTCTAGCCAGGATAATAAGCTATACACCCATTCCAAATATATATGAATATGCAGAGGATCAAGAAAGCCAAAACAACTTTGAAAAAGTACAAAGCTAAAAATGCCATCATACCTTCAGAATATAATTGCAAAAGAACGTCTGCTATGGTCACCCCCCAGAGATCATTTTTGTTGATTCCGGTAGTATTTTGATTCAAGTCAGGAAGAGACTTTATGACTGAGAAAGTATTTCAAGAATTACTGAAATTGGGGCCAGCAGGTGGCATGGTGGTTAAGGACACTGGACTCATACATGGCTGATCGTAGTTCAAGTCCCGGACCTGGCGGCTTGCTTTCTTTTTGTACTTTCCCTTCCTTTCTCTCTCTCTCTGGTCAAATCAAGAAATAATAATAGTAAATAAAGTTAAATAAAATAATTCTAAAAATATAAGAATTACTGAAATAAACTTCTACACTTCATAATTCCCTGCAAGTTGTCTTCACTATGTGCATGCCCATAAAATGATTTGCTCAAATGTCACTGAAAATGTTTCAATTGCTAAGGCCATCAGATTTTTCTTTTTTCCTCTTTTTCTTATTCTTCTGCGCTTCATTTGACAATTCTGACCCCTGCCTCATGAAAACATTCTCTGACCTTGGTTTCCATGGCACCACATTATTTTTTCTCTCATGTAGTTACCTTCCGTGAATCTGCTCATTGCACCTATACCACAATTACATATATATATTCTGTGCTCAATCCTTGGCCCTTGCTTCTTTCTCTCCATATTTTCCCTCTCAATCTTTTTATTTTATTTTATTTTATTTTTATTTAGATTTTTTTAGAGATGTTTTGCTATTGGGTATGTGCACTCGCTGGAGAGACAGAGACCAAGAGATAAAAAGCGAGAAATCATTCCAGGGAGGATGACCACACTGCAATCCCTTCTCCTCCATTTGCCTGGTAGGATCTTTGGCACACATGCACACATGCCCAGCATGAGTTTTAAGCCTCTGCTGGGTCCAGGACTCAAACCACTGTAAGCCATATGGGAGTCCAGCTATGTAACCATCACGCCATCTGCTGGTCCCATCCCTCTCAATCCTTTTAATCATTTTCTTGTTTATTTCTCTCAAATCTCTGTTTTTATCACCAATCTTTTTTCCACACCTGCAACTTACCTCCTTCTTAACTTTTCTACTTGAGTGTCTTACAGTCATCATAAATTATATTTTTTAAAGAAAACTAAGCATTACTTCTTATATTCAGAAAAAGCTCTTCATCTCAACTTTTCTGTCTTCCTCACTGACCACAGTTATTCCAGTCAATTTGGTTCAGTGTTTTGGAGACACATCTACTTTAACTTTACAGTCATCTTTTTATTTAAAGTATATCTTCTCTCTGTTCTGATTTCTCAGTTCACAATGACCCACTTAAAATTAAGGTACCAAATCTTCTAGCTAAGATAATAAAACATATTTTTTTTCTAAAATTTATATGAATATTCAGAGGACCAAGGATACTTCAACTATTTTTTAAAAGAAGTACGCATTTAAAAGACTTGTACTACTTTACTTGAAGACTACAGGAATAAAGATAGGGTGGTATGGTACGAGGATAGACAATGGAATAAAATAAGAGTCTAAAACTAGAATTACATATAGAGTCATGTGTCAGCTAAGGACAGAGATAAATTCTGAGAAATTTGTAGTTAGGCAGTTTTGCAGCTGTGTTAACATAGAGTGTACCCACATAAACCTAGATGATATAGATTCCTATGCAACTAGGTTATATGTTATAGCCAATATGCTTTTTTAAAACTGTTTAAAAAAAAGGAATTATTTATTTATTTAATTCCATTTGTTATTAATTTTTAGTTTACCAGAGAGAGACAGAAAAGGAAAGGGAGAAAGCAAGCCACCATGTCTGGGACTTGAACCATGGTTGGCCATGTGGGAATCCAGTGCCTTTAACCCCCACATCACCTGCTGGCCCTGGCTATATGTTCTTTTGGAGAACACTATTGTAAATGTAGTTCATTGGTGACTAAAATGTCATTATGTGGCACATGACTGTATACGGTCAACTAACATTTCATAAAGTGCTAAGGTATCTCACTAATAGTATTTTCAACAAATGGTGCTGAAACAAGTGAACATTCATACTGGAAAAAAATAACTCTTAACCTTTCTTCTTGCCATCTACACATATTTAAAAATATGTGTAAAAATTCAAGCAAAGGATCTTTATGACCTTAAAATGAGCAGAGGTTCTTAGAAACAAACAAACAAACAAAAAGCATAAATCTAAAAAGAATAAAATAAAAGTTTGAAGTTTATCTGACAGGCCCCCAAACTTTTAAGGCCAGATACTTAAAGGCACAGTCAGATTGTGAATTCCTAACTTGGCTCAGTAGCCTTGGGAGGCTTTTTAAAGAGTCTAATCTGAAGTCCCTTGTAAAAGGTTCCAGTAAAGTCAACTAAATCAATTAGTATTCTTATGGGGGGGTTTGTGCCAATAATACGCCAAATTGAGACTACAATTTTTTTGCAAATAAGTTAGTTTATGCTTCTCTTTGGTAAAAAGGGAAGAGAGAGGGAAAATAATGTTTCAGAATAAAACTACAATGCAATCATTCCTAGATTTAGCTCTATTCATATTTGTATTTTGGGTTTTTTAGTATCTACCTACTATTTGGACAGAATCCTGACCTGTTTCCTGGCTTTAAGTCTTAAGAAAATTTTTCTTGTTTTGATTTTGATTTATTAAAGTGAAAAATGGCTTTTCTTCACATTTGGAAATAATAATAGTAGCAAACTAAAGACAGTGCAAAAAAAGGGTGAGTTTTAGGGAGCAGAGGAGGAAGTCTGGGGGGGAGCAAAACATTCAATGGACACAAAAATGGAAAATTGTCTGCTGATAGTAATATGTATGATAATATAGTTGACTGAACTGATATGCAGTGTATTCAAGATGATAAAATTCATTTTGTATGTTGTAATGATGTACAGTGATTAAATTTACAAAAAAAAAGAAATAATTCTTTTAAAACTTTGAACTTTATCAAAATTAAAATCTGCTATACTAAAAACTGGAACAAGACAAGACTGCCCACTTTACTCCTTTTTAACATAGTGCTGGATGTCCCAGCAGTGGAATCGGGCAAAAGAGCAAAATAAAACGCATTCATATAAGAACGGAAGAAGCTAAACTGTTCCTGTTTGCAGGTGATTTGGTTATATACATAGAAAATCTGAAGGAATTCATGAAAAAAAAAAAAACCTCCTAGTAGTGATAACTGAATTCAGTAAAATAGCAGGATGCAAAATCAATACATAAAAATCGATAGCATTTTATATACCAATGATGAACGAATTGAAATAGAACTGTAGAAAGCCATTCTATGTGGTTATTACAATAACCACAAAATGAATAAGATACCTAGGAATTAACCTTACCAAAGAGGTGATATATCTCTATAAGGAAAACTATGAAAAAGTAAAAAAAGAAATAGAGTATGATACCAAAAAAATGGAAATACATCCCATGTCTTGAATCAGAAGAATCAATATAATCAAAATGTTAGTTCTACCCAAATTAATTTACACATCTAATGTGATTCTGATCAAACTGCCAGTCTTCACAGAAACAGAAGGACCAGTCATAAAATGTGTCGAATCATTAAAGACCTCATGATAAAAGCATTATTGTGTAAAAAGAATGAAGTAGGCAGCATCTCACTAACGAACTTCAAAATATACTACAAAGAAGTAATAATCAGAACAGCATAGAACTGGCCCCCAAATAGGAATATAAACCAATGGAACAGAATAGAGAATTAAGAAACAAACCCCAAATCATACAGGCAACTAATTTTTGACCCAGGGTATAAGATGATGCCCTGGAGAAAAGAAAGTCTTTTC